GCTATATAAGTTGCTACCGAGTTTAACAAATCTTCACTACTTAAGCTGTAACTAATAGTGTTCAGATTAGATATACTTTTCACTAAGTAACATTTCTTTGCCCTGTAACACAAATCTGAAACCGTTTGCATTGCTGAATACTAAATTGAGTCCATGAAAGCCGAAAATTCGATAAATTTTACAGTTACCTTTAAAGAAAAACATTTGTATAAATTGGTGTTAAAATTGTTTTAGGTTGTAAGCAGCTCATGAGAAACCTCGAAACAAAATTGATTCATGCTATTCTGCTAAAACTGTTGTTCTCACTCTGTTCAAAAAGAAAAAAGTATTGCTTCAGTGAGAAGTAGATTTACCAGGAAAGTATCAAGGGGATATGCCAGTTAGAGCAATCAATAAACGTCACTCCGAGTGCTAATTTTTACACCCATCTTGTTCTCAGTTGCACTTTTGAATCTAGCACTTACAACTGAGCAGTGGAACTACGGTTATTTAGCTTAGGGAGTTGACTTTCAACCAGTAGGTCCCACGTCCGAACTCTACTCAACCTACCGAGGTTTGGACAGATAGATATAAGCCTTTACATTATACATAGGGCTCATTGTGTACTGCATAAACGTGCACAAGATTGTTGATTGCGCTTCGTTCGTGGTACATGCGGCTGTTACAGCTTCGTTTTCAGTGGTCTCAAAAATCTTTCGAATCACGTGAACCTTTGTATTACCAGTGTAGCTAATGCTTTTCTCAACCGCTCTGAACATGACATTTTATGGAATTACAATCAGAAATCATGTAGCCTAAGATAATATCATAAAAATAATCAGAAAACCATTTATGTATCTTCCTCAAGGTTTTTTCGCTTGATGAATTTTGTTGCCACATGTTTTATCCTCCAGAAACCACTTTCTTCAACAAAAACGTGACCAAATTCTTCAGAATGATGACAAGGCTGAGAGATATCCATAAAATATCATTTTTTTTAAAGGTAGCTTCATCCTTGCGACACCGCAATCGCCTTTGGGTAAGTGATCCTAGTAAAGTTTTGCTTCATCAGAGTCCAACTTGGTCGTCACTGTTCCGCACAATGTTTTAAGTTGTTATTAAATTCCTTGGCCTTTATCAGAAGACTTTATCAAAAACCTATGTATGAGAATTCTGTCTTCATACCTCTTGTATGAGTGGATGCAGAGGTCCCTATCAAAAAACTGGTTCATGGTGTAAACTAAACTCCCATTTTCTTCATTTAGGCCCTAATTCAATTTTCAGGACCTTCCATCACTTCCTGTCGTAGCTATCAGATGAATTCTGGTTCACAGAGATAATCAGAACATGTACAATGTTCTTTCTTACAAGCCACTGCCCCCTAATCTCGTTTACAGTTGTTAATTTCGTATCTTATTGTTCTCACCACGTTTTTGGAGCACCGAGCAGTTGTTTTAGTAGATGAATCAGTCAGTGATGAATGCTTCAAAATATACAGGTAGTAAGTAATAACAGGGTGATGATAATAAGGGTAATAATTTCGAAAGTCATCGTAACATTGTTGATGAAATCAGTTGTAGTGCATATGGCGATGATGACAATAATAATAATAATAACATGAAAAAGAAGAAAAAAAACATGAGAATGTGAAAACTCCGATGACCAAATTGGGTCAAGAGCTTATAAAAACCATTAAAGATGAAGCAGGTGGGAAAACAAAGCCTAATCAAGTATATCAAGTGTATGAAAGGAATAGAATGTCAGTAAAGGATACAAAACTCTGAACGGCAAAGCTGTTTATGAAACTGGTAAGTTCATCAGCTCTAACATTCAGTAAAAAGTAACTTCCTTTATCCTCGGTATCCCAGAATTCAGAAAAACTACTAAGATAGGTCTCTAATGAAATTGAAGCTATTCGAAAGATACTTAGTAATGAACTGATTAGTGAAAACTTCAAGAAACAGATTAACCCTCTTTTTTGACGGTTGTTAAGATAACTTTAATCATGAATTTACGATTCAAAGAGGTCATTTCAGCCGCAATACTGAAGAGACATCTGTTGAAATGCATCAAGAATACTTTCTATTGCGCTAGTCTATGGTTGGTATTCTCGAGCTGTCGTTGGATTCGAAAACGCTTAAAAGACAGATTGCTGCATATGTCTACATCTGTATTTATATTGAACTTTGTAAGCAGGTCCTCCAGAAACGTGTTGCCAAACACTACCAAACATGGTAAACCAAAGTCGAACAAAGAATAATTCCACTGATATGTGAACACCTAATGAAGCCGTGGTTACTAGCTCCTCGTGATTCCTCCTTCAAGGTTATTTAGCTGAATTGTTTCCACCATATATGCATATTTGAAGCTTTAGCTATACGTGATCGAAAAGAGAAATTGTTCATTCAAAAGCGTTTTGTGAAACCTCTTTCTCTGCCTTGGCCTTACAATGTATTTTTTTCTTAATTTTATCCCAACTAACTTAACATATTCCACCTTGATTATCATCCTTTCATACTTTTTTGAGAGCACTTGACTCTTATTTAGCCTCTTGAAATCAGTTCTTTTTGCCAATAACTTCAATTTTTTCCACTTGAACTATATCCCGTTGCCCCCACTAGTTATATCATGTTCATGTTGACTGAAGAGCTTTCTTATGCAACTGTTTGGTGTTTTTCAAATTAATAGATACGACCGTACAGCTTGATAAGAAGTATTTCTTCTCTGATAAGAACCTTGTCCTTCTTATTACTTTCTCACTAGTCAAAGCAAAGATAGAGGATGTACAAACTTCTTGATTCGAAGGCTAGAATTATTATCGTACTGTTTTTAAAAGAGGGGTTTGAATATCATTCAGAAGATTGGGTAGTATGGAATAGATAATCCTGGATGCATTGATTTTGCCTACTGAGTTACCACGACTTATCCAATGAAATAAGACTGGTCTTCTGCTAGATTTTATCTGTCCCTTTCCCAATCACGAAGATAGAAGCTCGGCAATATGTCTGTTGAGTTGCCTGTGTAGTTTTCTCCATGGGAGCGGCTGAACCTGTAAATTCACATCATTGGCTGATAAATCTATATACCACCCTAGTTTTACTCCAATGTTAGTCGTTGCTTTATTTCGAATACATGCAATGAGTTATTTTACGTAGGTATTCACCGGTATTTCGTTTCTATTTTAGCTGATTTTCGGATATTTTGCTCACAATATGATTCTGTTTCAAAAGCATGCGGGTACTATATTTCGAAAATACAACTGCTAATTTTAGGGGTGACTCTAAAGGCCTTCCTAGTAATGACTGAAATAACCAGTTAGGTACCTTTAGTTCTTCTGGAATATATTTTTTTCATGGAATAGTAGTTGTTAGCTTGACCTTTAGAGAAACTTGAGATTAGCATTAGGTTCTGTCAAGTGTGTCACAACACTGCTTAAACGTACACATTTAACGCATGTGTTTTGATTAATTGTAATGTAGGTTGCAAGTCGCTAAAAAAAAATCGACCGTATAAAAATGCAAGGTCTTTTTTCCGGGTTACTTTAAAGACCACCCTAGCAACAACTGAAATAACCAATTAGGTTTCTGTATTTCGGTTGAAAAGGCGAATTCTTACAAAACGGAGAAGTTTGATTAGTTAATTTAGCTGTTGCTAGGGTGACCTTTAAAGTCATGTCACCTTAACAACTGCCAAAACAACCAATCAAGTGACGGTATTTTGACTGGAAAGACAATTTATCATAAAATAGAGAAACGCGATTGGTTGCTTCGTCAGTGGCTAGGTTGGGCTTTAGAGTCACCCTTTCACATGGTGATGTTTCATTTATTATTAGTGCACGATTCTAAAGTTGGACAAGTTCAAACACCACTCTAACAACGACTGAAATAACCAATTAGGTTCCTTCATTTCTGCTAGATAGGCAGATTTTCATCAATTAGAGAAGTTAGACTGGTTGTTTTAGTTGTTTCTAGGGTGGTCTTTAAAGTTGCCTCAAAATTTTAAGGGTAATTTTAAAAGGCCACCACACCAACGATTGAAATAACCGATAAGGTTTCGATATTCCATATGGGAGAGTATTTCTCAACAAGTAGAGGAACGTAAATGGTTGTCTAATTATTTGTTAGAGTGACCTTTAAAGTCGCCCAAAGTAAAGGAATGTAGTTGGCTGTCTCATCAGTTGTTATGGTGGTCCTTAAAATCATCACAATTTAATGGTGTTTCGTTTTCACTTTTTCCACTACCTAGGACTTTACAGTTCAACCTTTATGCATGTATTGGTTTCACGTGACAACGACAGCTATATTGATTTGTTTTTACTGGCACTAGTATTTTCACTTTCAGAGTGCATGTTTACTGCAAACTTCGAGGTAAAAATTCTACTTTCGGTTCGAAAGTATTCAGGTCATTAAGTCAGATGATTCAAAAGAGTAAAACAAAAAACATAAAAGAAACTAGGACTCGGTAGTTTCATTATTGACTTTTTGCGATTAAAAGCACATGAGCAAGTGCTTTTGTAATTCGCAGTTGTTGTTTATAAGCTACATCAAACCAATGTAGAGTTAAACATAGCCGAAATAATTTTCAGTTCATTCAGTGTGATTTCTTCCTCCATCTATGTTTTTGAAATATTTGTTTCTCTGACCACCTGATTATCTTCAGATGAACGATAAGATCTACTCATCTGCATATTCATTATACATCGTCTAGCACATTTCACTATGCCATATTATTGCTTCTGTTATTAGGAGGTGGAAACTAAATAATTACCTAGCTACGAACTATATATATATATATATATATATATATATATATATATATATATATATATATATATATATATATATATATATATATACAAACGGATGATTGACTCGTATCCAAAATCCTGCATGGTGTCCAGATTTATTGGTGATACATGTTTCGTAACATTGTTGAGGATAGTTCGGATTTTTTTGGTACAAAATTCGTATGATGATAATCTATCTTCAATATGCATTGACTTTTTTTCTCATTTATTCTAGGTACTGATTGGTTTACAATAGAACAAAGTTCTGGTATGGCTGAATTATTTATGTGTAAGTTGCTCAGCTGTTCGTCTACCTCCGTGTTCTAAACTTTTGCCATCCGTCATTTGAGTAAGATTATTAAAGCTTTTACTATCATTGTAAAAGCTATCTGAACAAGATACATAGCCTTTCTTATGCTAAAATGAAAAATTGTTTGTGACCTGTGAAAAGAATAACTTGTCTCCTTTAATCAACGGATAAAAGTTGTTAGGTGTTGTCAATGTTGTATGCATATGAATATTGATCTAAGGTTATGCATTTTCAGACGGATCTAGGATGATAAGGTATGTTGATCTTCGTTTTCTCACTTTACTCAAGTTTGCCTGTTTGTATGCAATGCATTTCTCGGGATATTTGTATCGAATATATCTTCTTTTTCAGACTGTTGATAAGCTATCCACAGGTCGCAAAGAAAAATGTAACCGTCAATACACTATTCTTCAGCGAATATCTTGTCCGTTAGTGATCTATTCAGATCACCATTTCGGGTTGTGGTTGCTTTCTCCATTGTCTCTATGCATTTGTCAGAATAGTGGTGAAAACTCAATATAATAGATTTGGAATAACTATATATTATGTATTATACAGGTAGTATATTCTTATATACGTTAATCAGTAGGTCTTGGGTTCAAAACCTGCTCCGCCTACTTCTGTTTTGGGAGCTGGGTAATATTGTGTGCCTTCACGCAACTAGTATGACTCAACTACCACATAAGAGCTGTGCCGGGCGAGTTACATTAACTCTTAATTTAACTAAATATCACTTCTTAGCTAGCAGAAAGCATTCCGTTGAAGGAAATGGACCCAGGAATTATTTTGCTGGCTTTGATAGGTGTTGTTTTAGAAACTGAAGTATATTTGATGCATGTTTATTCAGATTTTTGTACAAATGACTAGTTATTCGCTGAATTATTGTGTTTCCTAGGCATATGACGAAGTAATTTGCTGAATAATTATATCAAGTTCTCTGTTTTCTATTGTTTATTCTTTTATTGAAGATTTCTGCAAAACTTTAAGATTTTGTTCATCATTTAAGTTTGTATCCTTGTTTTGGTGTGTGTTTGCCTTTGTAGAGTCTGTAAGCCATAGAGGTAAATTGCATGATGAATACTTCTACTTTTGTCAACCAGCACTTTTACTATTTTTTGTTCGCTACAGAGGTATGAGGGCTCTTCTCACCTACTTGTTACTGTTATAAACCACTATAGATTTCCAGTCATTTCAAATGTTTAAAAAAGCGCTGCTCAGAATGCCATGAGAAATTTAGGTGTAGTTGTTTTACCAACAATATGGTTCATCACTTCGTGGAAAATTTTGGCATCTTTATTCGTCACAATGTTCATCATCTTTCATTGTTCCAACTTACTTCATATTGTTACATAACATGGTTAAAGTTAGTGGCCTTACATTTTCTTGGATTCAAAAGCTTTTCAACGTTTTGACCTGATTATTACAAGTAGAGTTCTTTATCTTTTGTTGATTTGTATTGAGGAATAAAAGGATGAGATTTATTCCAGTCATGTAGTTTATTCAAGCAGCATACTTTTGAAACTGATCAGTATTTACTTGCTTGGTTGAATTATTATAATTATTATAATCAATCGTCTGGATACTCTAAGTCAGTCAAATGACCTCTAGGGAGCAGGTCAGATCCTGTGAAGTCACATACCCAAGGTTATGTCCATTGATGTGTCTATGACGAAGTCAAGTAGGAACGGTAACAGTGGACACCCCTCCTGGGCACCACTAGTTGTCGTCAATTCACATGAAAAACTTTCTATAAGCCATTATACGGGTGCGTGAGTTCGAGCAAAAAGCTTTGATTAGTGTTATATACTTCCTCGGTACTCCCTTCACAGTAAGACTGTCACAACACACTACGATCGACAGAGTTAAATGCCGAATTCAGGTCAATAAATATGGAAAATGTCGGTCACTGGGCGGTAATTATGCCAATATTCCTTAACCTGTCAGAGGATGAATATATGGACGATGCACCCTCTTCCAGCCCAGTCTGAAACCTGTATGGTTTTCTCGAGTTTGCTGTTCTCGAGGTCCAGTTAGGCATCACAAGAAGATTTCTCTCCCTTATCGACTAGAGTGATCAGTGAAGTACACCAGTCTGAAGGCACTGCCTGTGATTCCTATACATTACGTCGTACCTTTTGTTACTCTCCCCAGCAATCTCCTACATCCATCCTTGAAAGTGTAGGTTGGTAAACCATCAGGTTCTGCTGTTTGGGATTGCTTCGCGTTTAAGACAGCTTTCTCAACACCGAGGAGAATTGGGAAAGCGACATGTATACGTCGCATTGAGGTTGAAGCTGGATGTTGGGCAACTGAAGCGTAGCCACAAGCCAGTTGAACTGTTTTTTCTTCAACGTGTGTCCCACGACATTGTAGCCACCTATCTTGGTAAGTCATCAGGGACCCCATCCTTTTCGTTGATGGTCTGACTGACCATCGTCTTGTTGTTACCAGTTTCCTTAGTGAACCTGAATAACTGCCGAATATTAAGTGATGCTACAGGCTTCTCGATCTCTATAAAAAGAACATTTGGATGAGAAAAACTGATATCAAAGTAGACCAAAGGTGCATGAGAGGAGTAGGGAATTAAAAATTAAGGTCAGTCAAAGTTTTTAAGCTTAAGAAGACATCAGTTAGTGAATACGTCTGCTCCACTTTGATTATCGTCCTGAACTGAATTACTAGCATAAGTAATTAGTTTAGGATAAAACCTTTTAACTTTTTTCTCTGGTTTGCTTTTGGAGCGTTATTTCATAGAATATCACATATTATTATCCAGAAGTAAGTGTATATTGATCTATCCCATGCTACATTGAATCAATCATTTCCTGGTTTTCAACACGTTGCATATCATATAGAAACATCTTGAAGCTGTTATACGTTTTCTGAATGTTTGGTTAGTGTTATATTATTATCTAGTGCTTTTATAATATCAGTTTCAGGGTTGTGTTGAGGCAGTGGGAATATTCATGTGATCCCTTCTTTCCTCATAAGACCTAATATTCGACATTATCTGGTTTAAAACGATACTTGTGTTGGTTGTGTCATTTGTTCTTCAATGATTGTTTTTTTGTTGCCAACTAGTAGAAAAACTTTCAAATGAATACTTGTTGGGTCACCTAAAGATGCACTAAATAGCAGTAATTATGACCTAAGTTATCATAGCTGAACAATAAAATATTACGATGAAGTGTCTTTTGATAGGTTGGGTTTAGTTTTCCTCTCTATTTCTTGTAACTGATACACTCTTTCGACACAATGATAACGTTCTTAAGGTTACAGTTGTCATCATTGTTGTTTTTATTATCCTGTTTACTAACGTAAATAATTTTTATTGGGACTGCATATGAAATCAGCGTATAGGTCTGCATATACTTTTGTAGTGCTGTAAGCACTAGTTTCAACATATTCAATTATAATGTATGCAATCATTAGTGTTGGTGTTTATTCGTACATGTTGATAATTCAATGACCGTTCTGGAGTCCGTAATCGACTCTCAACAATTAACCTCTACATACTGAGATTTAATAATCATTTAGCATCAGTCTTACAATATTTATCAATCGTTACCGAATACAAGAATCTAAATTTGATTGTTGAGTTGAATTCTTTATTCTGTTTAGGGTTATAATAATTGTGACTGATAAGTTAGTCTTTCATCTCTCTGTTATTAGTCGTTGTTTCACGTGCCTCATATCAGCGATGACGAAACAAGCGATATATATGTCATTTTTGTTAAAATATATACTATGTTGTATCATCGTAGAGCGCTGCAACAATATAGTTTGAAATACTAAAAAATATGGGATGCTCTTTGTAGCTGACATCATTTAAGGGATAATTTTCATTGTCTTTTAATGATCATCCTCAATGTGAACGGGAACAAGGATAAGAATTTCTACAAAAAAGTATCCCTAACCAAGTTGCTATACTGGACAACAATGCAGATCGAGGAACTTGATAATGGTAGAAAGAAAAGAAAATTTGTGAAACGAAATCGTAAGTATATGCTTCTAAGATGGGTTACAGATGACAGGAAAATGCAATGGGTCGATGCCTTAATGTGATTGGTGCACACAGAAAGTGCACTTGGGGGAGTTAGGAAACCCTGGTTGCAAATCAGTAGTATAAATGGACCCCACGATCCAGAATGGAAGAATGACATTTGGACCTATTTTGGTCACCAGCAACTATGGGAGTGCAGTATCTCACATTGTTCTGCTTTTATGTGGGTCAGACTTTGTCAAGTGGTGCCTTTGGTTTCAGATTTCGGGCAGTACCACAACCACATACAATTTATCAATCAACATTATGAGTGAATACTACTACTAGGTGATCATTGGATCGTTTGTACTAAACAAAATTCACGGTGTAATAGACTATTTACACAGTAGCATTTGTATTCATATTGTCGTTATCGTTACTTATGAACTCAGCTGTTTGTCACTGACTAACATCTGGGGTTTTCTTCATCATCTTGAGTTGCCAAAGAGTTACTTCTGGAACCTATCCTTCAGTGTGATATCTGATACACCTATTCTGAAAGTGCATAGTCAACTCAACCCGGCGACCTTCTACGTCTTCTAACCTTGATGCAGATCGGATAACAAGTAGGTTTAGCTTGGACCCTGAAAAGCCTTGCTGCCTATGTATACTTGTATCTCAGAGACCTAAATACAAGACTCCAGTGAAAAAATTCGAATAACTTCCCCATCTATCAGCTCGAAAATTGTATTTATAGTCTGATTATCCTGGATCCCTGTGGCATCAGAAGCTAACTATGCTGGTGTTGGTGTCACACTAAGCTCCAGAGCCGAAGCTGCACTAGTGGACTAGGTTCCCATTAGCAGTCAACTGTGTGTTGGCTAGAAGGCTTGACTGGAGTGAGAAGTAACTGTCAAGAGAAACGATACCTCTTTTTCACCCCTTTGTATGCCTTGATTGACTGAAACCTGGATGCAGTTAAGGCTGAGTTTTGCCATCAACTGAACAACCTTCCCTATCAGGTGCGCTGCACTTACAACACGTTGAAAACTACGGGTAAAGCTGATTGTGGCTTTGAAGAACATCCTACTAACGAACACTAAGTTTCTGCGAACTACTTATAACTTATGGATGCTCTTTGGTGTATTCTGGCAAGCAGTTCCATTTTAGTTGATTATCGCACAGTGGAACAGTACAGTATTATTTACTGGATTATTTTTCACACACAATTCATTGTCCATAGTCATTTCAAAATAACTCCACAACTTTGAGACGATATCTCAAACTCATCAGTGATGTGATATCAACGTCTGCCAAAATAGTCGGAGATGAAGTAAGTCGTGTTACAACTACTTACCGATGTTAAGCGTGTGTGTGTGTGTGTGTGTGTGCAGAACATCTAATTTTTCTGTTGAGATTTAATCACACTTGAGTGTGTGATTATTTTATGTTGTCTTGCGGTGATCAATGAAGTTTTTGGAAGCAGGTCGAGGTAAACCCGCTGACTGCAACTAATATCTTATGTAAATACCAACAAAATTAGTTCGTAAGCTAACTCAAATATTTTTATGTTATCATTTCACTTGAGCCTTTCTAATGCATATTTCCAATTAAGTCGCTTTCATTTGTTGTGATTTTTTTCAGTTGTTCAACAATGTAATTTTAAGTATTGTGTTTTGTCGTATTGTTTCCTTCCAGGTATGGCTCATCAAACGGACAAAATTCCAGAAGTTGGATCAGATTTGGATCTAATGAATATTAATGTTGGACACAGACTATCTCTTGTAGACGGTTCTCCCCTCTTACCAGAATTCTCGAAAAAAACACATAGAACGTTCACTGATGGAGTTGAGTACGCAGCACAGGTAACTAAGCCCTGTAAATGATATTCGACTCTGAATACTTGTATGGCAACAAACGTTAACTGATTCGAACGTTTTCTCGTAGAACACTATATAGTGACTTCTGTTATTCGTTAATTTTTATTTCTTTGATATCGGCGTTTCTTCATTGTTTACCCACGTTCTCTTAAAACAGTTCTTCAGCTTTGATAAAGACGGTTTTTATTCATAAAGTCGTGTTAAGACCTGTCTTTCTTGATGTGGCCAGTGGTTTAGAAATTAAATTTTCAACCGTGGAGTCATTTGTTCAAATCTGATTCTTTTGGAAACAATGGTATCACTACTCTTTTCATAGTGGTTGTGACTTGTATGCTCAGCGTACCGAATGACATAGTTGCAGTCTTATATGCTTCTTCATTTTGTAGTAAACCTCCAAACAGTAGTTGTGACTAATTTTTGTCACTTGAAATTTTATTCTACCCGTAAATTAAGTATTCAGTTTTATCCTATGATGGTTGTTTATTACATATGAAATTGCCAAGACCTTTTTATCTACTGACAATTGATTATGTTGAAAAAGTTCTCACTACTTCATTTTCACTTTTTAAGACGTGTCTTAGGTTCCATGCAGAGATCCATTCATTTTACTCTTTGAAAGCTTAATGGCTACTACTATCACTATAGTGTGTCCACTTTTTCCCCCTAATGCTTACTTACTACTTTATTCCAACTGAACGAAAAAGCAGGCAACCGTGGTATTATTTACTATACTAATTTAGCAGTATGACTCTCATTAGGTAACTATTCAGTCTTATAGTCACCACACATTCAGAAGTACAAGCTTAATGTCATCTTACCTTCGAAATCATATAACATCTGAAAACCTAGATAGAGCGGATGTTGAAGCTGGTTATTGCGTATGATTCCCTTCTCTAATTTGGCTTCCGTAGCAGAATAATATTGTGTAACTTAGTCATCTGTTTAGTATAATGCCGTGTCTCCTCATTTTTGGCGCTAATACTGATCCGGGAAATTTTTCCACCAAAACAAGACTACTGGAAACGAACATCATCTTCCGCTTGACAATCTGAAATCCTGTAGATACCCGTAAATATAGTGTCATTTTGATTGTCTTAGCCATCCTATTTTAAAAAATTAAAGTCATACCATTATATCTGAATGCGCAGACTTGTGTAACTCAATTGAGAGCTTTCCTTAATACTTATAGTTCACATTCTGTGAACTGCAGTATATGGTCGGATGGGTGGAAACAGCATGTAAATGTCGACGTATGTCACACTCGTCCCTAGTTCTAACAGATTCATCCTGTCGAATACCACATGTTGCAGTAAAGCATGATTAGGCTAGGTTGACCACTACATCAGTTCAGTAGCTTCTGGTCGATAGAAAATCAAAAGATTGTGTCTAGCTTTAATGAGAAACAAATTTGTAATCTTCAACATCATATCAAACCTTAGTAACTTACCTCTACGAGCTAAATCAGTCTTCCTTACATATTGCTTCGCTCTATCTCAATCTGATGAAATAACCCTGTGATGCCTAAAACGCATCGACCTAGCTAACAAGCACTGTTTGTCGACAAAAAAGCATTACAACTACTCGTACTAAACAACAGAAGATATAAGACATTTTGCTAATTTCGCGCCTTCAGATGAAGTGTATTGAATTTTGAGAAACAGTTTAAACTCGGGGTTTCGTACGAATAGTTTCATTGTACGGTGATTAGTCTTTTTTAGAAACAATAAGTTCCCATTATCACCTTAGACTCTCCATTCATATCTTTTGGAGCATTTATATGTGGTTATTGTCCCAACATTGCCTTGAAATCAGTGGGATGTACTACATAATATTGCAAAAAATGAAACAACAGGATTTTTTTTCGAAAATTTTAGGACTTTAAAGTTAGCAAAAGAAATGGAAAAAAAGCACAAAACTACTACATTTCAGATGGAAGGTCTTAGAAAGTAAATAAACAAAATTCTAAAATGATGATGACTCCCTTCTTCTGGACGCAAGTTTCATCACATTATTTGGAACTATACATTTTCAATATGGATTCATCTATCGATTTGTTTGTTTAGTTAGGACATGTATAACGTGTTTTCGTGTCCAGTATCAATTGAATGGTGATGTGTTGGACTGTAATAGACAACCTAAATCTCTGTGAATTGATCGACTTTCTTAAACGTAAACAAATGTGGTCTAATTATACACCATCCGAATTTGTGTTTTCTAAACTACTTACCAACCTCGCCTGGTTAACTAGTTTACTAGTTACTAGCTGGTCCTAAGCCCGGGTAAAGAGGGAAGGTTGGGCATAGGGCTAGCAACCCTACCCCGTAAAACAAATCTAACCGCTAAAGAAACTTCAAAGCACAAACAAAATATAAAAAATGAAAACAAACTTATTCCCCGCTGGAATGGGAGAGGCGAAATGGTGCCAGTTGGTGAAAGCCTTCGGGAAGCCAATTGGCCGATGTGTCTTCTCTCGATGAAAGCGAAAGTAAACGTGGGGACATGGAATGTCCGTACGATGTTTGAACCCAGTAAGGCAGCCCAGATTGCAAAGGAGATGAGAAGGTATCACATCGAAGTGCTTGGGATTTGCGAAAGCAGATGGAATGGGAGTGGACTCTCCAAACTGTCAACTGGAGAATCAATAATCTACTCCGACACTCTCACCCAGACGACAACCATGAGCACACTGAGGAGTGGCTATCATGATGTCCTCAAGAGCATCGAAGGCTCTCATGCAGTGGGAACCAATCTCCTCCAGGATCATGACAGCAAGATTCAACTCAAAAGGAAGAAAGGTCACAATCATACAATGTTATGCACCTACAAATAATGCAGAGCAAGAGAAAAAGGAGGATTTCTACAGACAACTTCAATCAACACTGGACAAGACGTCAGTTGGCGATATCAAAATTCTGATGGGCGACATGAATGCCAAACTGGGAGGGGACAACACAGGAAGAGAACTAACCATGGGTCGAGAGGCGCTAGGTGAAATGAATGAGAATGGAGAATTGTTTGCAGAATTCTGCGCATTCAACGATTTGGTGATTGGAGGCAGTGTGTTCAGGCACAAAGATATCCACAAAGCGACATGGATTTCACCAGATGGACACACTAAAAATCAAATCGACTTTATCTCAATCTCAAGAAAATGGAGACGCAGTCTACTTAACACAAGGTCAAGAAGAGGAGCAGATGTAGGCTCAGACCACTATCTAGTGCAAGGAACCTTCCAAATCAAGTTAAAAGCCTTCAAGGAAGCTGGTGATAGACCTCAATTCAAGTACAACACTCGGAAACTGAAGGATGAAACTACAAAGGAGATCTTCACGGCAGCCATCAAGACAAAATGGGAGATATCGAGGAACATCCCTGAAGAAACCTGTGTGGAAGAACACTGGAAGTCTTTGAAAGCTATGTGGAAAGAAACCTGCACAACAGTATTAGGAAGGAAGAAGAAAGAAGACAAGGAATGGATCTCGACGGATACCTGGAAGCTGATAGAGGAGAGGAGGATGGTGAAGCAGAAGATAAACCAGTGCAAGGATGCTCAACGACAAGAGGAACTGAGCACAATGTATAAAACACTGGACAAAGAAGTGAAGAAGAGTGCACGCAAAGACAAAAGACACTTCTACGAAACACTGGCAAGTGAAGCAGAACAGGCTGCAGGTAAGAGAGACCTGACGACATTGTATCAAATAACCAGGTTGCTATCAGGGAAGAGACCAACACAGATGAAACCAATAAAAGATGAAGAAGGAAATTTAATTACAAAAGAAGAGAAACAGAGGAAACGATGGGCCGACCACTTCAAGAAGCTCTTGAATCGACCACCACCTGCACTTCGTCCAGAAATACCACCTGCAGCCGCTGAATTACAAGTGAACATAAATCCCCCAACGAAAATGGAAGTCCTGAACGCCATAAAGCTACTGAAATGCGGGAAAGCAGCAGGACCAGATGGAATACCGCCAGAAGCACTGAGAACAGATGCAGAGACAACAGCGGACATGCTCACACCACTATTGCAGAAGGTGTGGAAGGAAGAGAAGGTACCTGGTGATTGGAAGAAGGGTTACCTTGTCAAACTGCCGAAGAAGGGAGACCTCAGTGCTTGCAAGAACTGGCGCGGAATCACTCTCCTGTCCACCCCAAGTAAAATATTAAGCCGCATCATCCTGGAGAGGCTTAAAGACGCACTGGATTCAAAACTGCGACCGGAACAGGCAGGCTTCAGGAAGTACAAATCATGTGCAGACCAAATTGCAACGCTTCGCATCATCATAGAACAGAGCATAGAATGGCAATCAGCTCTCTACCTCAACTTCATCGACTTTGAGAAGGCCTTTGACAGCGTCGACCGAGAAGTAATTTGGAAACTGCTTCAATACTACGGAGTACCGCAAACCTTTATCCGCCTCATTCAACAACTATATGAAGATGCCACATGCCAAGTAATCCACAATGGGAAGCTCAGTGATGCTTTTGAAGTGAAGACAGGAGTGAAACAAGGTTGCCTACTATCCCCCATGATATTCCTGATTGTGGTGGACTGGATCATGCAGCAAACAGTAGGCAGCGAGAAGAGGGGGATACGCTGGACGACGGAAAAGAACCTAGAAGACTTGGATTTCGCCGATGACTTGTGCCTAATGTCACATAAACTTGAAGATCTGCAGGCAAAAACTAACAAGTTGATAGAAGAGGCAGCGAAGACGGGACTTCAGGTGAATATAGAGAAGACAGAAGTGATGAAGATACCGAACCAACACTCCAACAACAACAACAACAAACTCCAATCACCATCAACGGGAGAAACTTGAAGGAAGTAACCCCCTTCACTTATCTAGGAAGCACTGTTTCAACTACAGGCGGGACGGACGAGGACGTCAAAGTCAGAATCGGAAAAGCAAGACAGGCGTTCATTAGCCTGAAACCAGTGTGGAGATCTTCTGCACTCAGCATGCGGAACAAGATACGGATTTTCAACACCAACGTCAAGTCAGTGCTCTTGTATGGTTCAGAGACTTGGCGCGTCACGAAAGGCATTTCCAATAAACTACAGACATTCATCAACAACTGCTTACTCGCTCACTACTCAAGATCAGATGGCCAGAAAGAACAAGCAACAAGGAACTCTGGGAACGAACCAACGAAGAACCTATCACGCAACAAATATGCAGGAAGAAGTGGAGATGGATTGGCCATGCACTGAGAAGGCCGACTGAGGACATCACGCGTCAGACCAGGCCGTCGAGTGGAACCCCCATGGGAAGCGACGAGTTGGACGTCCAAGGGTGACATGGAGGAGATCGTGTGAGGAGGAAATGAGAGCTTCTGGGCTGTCGTGGGACCAGGTTCAAAAGATCTCAGAGAACAGAAGTCACTGGAGGCGTGCAACTGAAGCCCTATGTTCCACTAGGAACCCAAGGGACTAATAATAAAATAATAATAAACTACTTACCAAGTTTACTTCCAATGAGTTAAATTTACAAGCAATTGATATCATTCTTACTATTTTGCATTTGATAAAGAGGAATATGTGCAAGCCTAGAGTCTTGTGTTTTCAAATCTTTTCGCCTACTTTTTTTTATAATCACACTCCGCAGTTGTCTGGCTGTGTGCCTAACCCTTAAATCTTGGCTGATATGTTCTGTCATTATAAAGAGATTAGATCTTAAATCTTGAATAGTTTTTCCTCGCATTTCCGAAATTTTCATTCCACTCAAGGTTTCGATATTGATTTCATCATATTGTCATTTGATATAATTGAGTGACGATCCATATTTCTCGAAGTAGTGCTGCTTCCATTCAAGTAAACGCAATTTATGCCGGACTTTTTTTCTGTCTGCAGTTTCGTTTTATTCCTCATTACTATATTATATGTTTACTTTTGTGTTTTTTTCTTCGTTTTTTTAAAAGATATACAACATATTAGCAGCTAGACATCGTACTGCACACTTCCTTTATTCGTTGCGGTGCATCGAATTTGCCGAAATGAATTGAAACCGGAAGATTTTTTACATTGTTTGGAATCTCATCCAATTCATTTATAGTAGCATCAATTCACAAGGGTTGCTAAGGATGATTATGCCCCAGGCCAATTTGTTTGTACGGTTATTTCTGTCATTCACTTGCTGATCAATTTTATCACTTACCTTTTTGTTATGTAGAAAGATTACTTAAAAGTGTTTTTGATTCGCCGCTCATTCTTTTCCAGACTTTTTTAAAATTTGATCCATCATTTCAATAAATACCTTTCCTTTTGTAGATGTTTTTTGAGAGAAAAAACTATGGATAATTTTTCGACCAATAGACAATGTTTATTTTATTGAAATACTTTTTATTTGCCTCCTTCTGCTTCTTTATTTACTTAGAAAGTACTTTTTTTGTTATAGATTTCGAAAACCACTGTTCTCCCTTATTTCTAGCCAAAATTAGTAGTGACTGTTTTTAGACGATAGTTTTATCGAAAATTCACAATTGATGTCATTTCGTTTGAGGCATGAAGTGACTACTTGAAGAAATGAGTAGCTTTAAAATATGCATGAACGGCAGGTAGTGATTACCTCTGATCTCTCACTATATTTTATTTATTTCACTAAATGAGGTATTTTTCCCTTTCTCGTATTAAGGGTTTCGCAATCTACATGTCATGAGTATGCCTGTTTTATTTACTATTATTGTTTATTTCTCCCTTGGGTCCTAGTGGAACATAGGACTTCAGTAGCATGCCTCCATTGTACTCTCTTCTCTGCAGTCTCTTGAACCTGCCGCCACGACTGCCCACAAGCTTTCATTCTTCCTCACATGATCTCCATGTCACCCTCGCCTCCGACGTCCAACTCATCGTTTCCCCTTTGGATTCCACTCGATGGCCTGGCTTGGCACGTGATGTCCCAATCGGCCTTCTCAGTGTATGCCCAATCCATCTCCACTTTCCTCTACATATTTGTTGGGTGATAGGTTCTTGCTTCGTTGGTTCGTCACCAGCCAGAGTTCCTTGTTGCTTGTTCTTATTATTCTGGCCATCTGATCTTCAGCATGGGGTGAGCGTAGGCGGCAGCTGTTGATGAATGTCTGTAGTTTGTTGGAAGTGCTTTTCGTGACACGCCAAGTTTCTGAACCATATGGGAGCACTTGACTTGACATTGGTGTTGAAAATCCGGATATTGTTCACGCTTTGTGCTGAGTGCAGTGCAGTAAATCTCCACACTGATTTCAGATTAATGAAAGCGTGTCTTGCTTTTCCGATGCTGGTTTTGACACCCTCGTCTGTGCCGCCACCTGTAGTTGAAACGATGCTGCCTAGGTAGGTGGGTAGGTGAAAGAGACAACTTTCTTTAAGTTTCTCCCGTTGATGGTGATTGGAGCTTGTTGTTGTTGTTGGTGTTGTTGGTTGGGTATCTTCATCACCTCTCTCTTCTCTGCGTTCACTTGAAGTCCTGTCTTCGCTGCCTCGCCTCTTCTGTCAACTTGTTGTTTTTCGCCTGTAGATCTTCGAGTTTGTGTGACATTAGCCACAAGTCATCATCGGCGAAATCCAAATCCTCTAAGGTCTTTTGTCGGTCCAGCGTATCCCCCTCTTCTCGCTCCTCACTGTTTGCTGCATGATGCAGTCCACCACAATCAGCAAGATGATAGGTGATAGTATACAGCCTTGTCTTACTCCTGTCTTCACTTCGAAGGCATCACTGAGCTTTTCATTGTGGATTACTTGGCATGTGGCGTCGTCATATAGTTGTTGAATGAGATTGATAAAGTTTTATGGTATTCCGTAGTGTTGAAGCAGCTGTCTGCCAAATTACTTGTTGGTCTACGCTGTCGAAGCAAGGTCTTTTCAAAGTCGATGAAGTTGAGGTAGATGGTTGACTGTCATTCTATACTGTGGTCTATGATAATGCGTAGTGTAGCGTTGCAATTTGTTCCTCACATGATTTGTACTTCCTGAATTCAGCCAGCCTGTTCTGGTCCTAATTTTGAATCCAGCTTATCCTTTAGTCTCTCCAGGATAATGTGGCTTAAGATTTTGCTTGAGGTGGACAGGAGCGTGATTCCGCGCCAGTTCTTGCAAAGGCTTAGGTCGCCCTTCTTCGGGATTTTGACAAGGTAGCCGTTTTTCCAATCACCCGGCAGATACCTTTCCTTCCCTGCAAACCATCTTTAGTAGTGGTGTGAGCATGTCCGCTGTTGTCTCTGCGTCTGGTTCAGTGCTTGTGGAGGAATTCCATCTGGTCCTGCTGCTTTGCCGGATTTCAGGAGTTTCATGGCATTTAGGAATTCACTTCCACATTTGCCGGAGGCCCTGTGTTCACTGGTAGTTCTGCTGTTGCTGGTGGTATTTCCGGACGAGTTGCAGGTGGTGGTCAGCCCATTGTTTTCTTTGTTTCTCCTCTCTGGTAACCAGCTTTCCTTCACTTTCTTCCACTGGTTTCGTCTGCTTTGATCTCTCTGCTTCCTAATATGGTTATGCAGGTTTCTTTCCACATAGCTTTCAAAGAGTTCCAGTGTTCTTCCACACAGGTTTCTTCAGGGATGTTGCTAGATATCTCCCATTTTGTCTTGATGGTTGATGTGATTTTCTTTGTAGTTTCGTCCTTCAGTTCAGTTTCTATTCTGGGTGTTGAACTTGAACTGTGGTCTATCACTAACTTCCATGATGGCTTTCAACTTGATTTTGAATGTAGGTTCCTTGCACTGGATAGTGGTCTGAACTTGCATCTGCTCCTCTTCTTGACCTTGTGTCAAGTAGGCTGCGTCTCCACTTTCTTGAGATTGAAATGAAGTCGATCTGATTTTCAGTGTAGTGTGTCCTGGTGTCTGGTGAAATCCATGTCGCTCACTACCTTGTGAATATCCTTGTGTTTGTACACGCTGCCTCACCTGCAATCACCAAATCGTTGAATGCACAGAATTCTGCAAACAATTCTTCATTCTCGTTCATTTCACCTAGCACTTCTCGACCCATGGTTAGTTATCTACCTGTGTTGTCTGCTCTGAGTTTGGCATTCATGTCGCCCGTTAGAATTTTGATGTCGCCAACTAGAGTGGGGTCTTGTCGAGTGTTGATTGCAGTTGTCTGTAGAATTCCTCCTTCTCTTGTTCTGCATTATTTGTAGGTGCGTAGCGTAACGTAGCATTGAATGATTGTGACTTTCCTTCCTTTTGAGTTGAACCTTGTTGTAATGATCCTGGAGGAGATTGGTTCCCACTGTATGAGATCCTTCGATGCTCTTCAAGGGGACATCATGATAGCCACTCGAAACTCAGTGTTCTCATGGTTGTCGTCTGGGTGAGAGTGTCGGAGTAGATTACTGACTCTGCAGTTGACAGTTTGTAGAGTCCACTTCCATTCCATCTGCTTTCACAAATTCCTAACACTTCGATGTGATACCTTCTCATCTCCTATGCAATCTGGGCAGCCTTGGTAGGTTCAAACATGGTGTGGACATTCCATGTCTTCACGTTTACTTTCGCTTTCATCGACGGAGAGAAGACACATCGGCGAATTGGCTTTCCGAAGGCTTTCACTAACCGGCGTCATTTCGCCTCTTCGATTCCAGTGAGGAATAATATTGTTTTCATTTTTTACATCTTGTTTGTGCTTTGAAGTTCTTTAGAGGTTGGATTTGTTTCCGGGATAGGGTTGCTAGCCGTGTGCCCAACCTTCCTTCTTTTCCCGGACCGGCTATTAATTAGTGAACTAGTTAACCAGGCGAGGTTTCTTAATATATAGATGTTCTGTAATCAGCACATAATCACTTTCAAAGCACATGCTAGATTAAAGTGGGTCATCTACTGACTCTTTGGAGTAGTAAATGATCGCGACATTGTCCGTGTACCCACGAAAGATAGAAAGCCTGTAAATATGATGTTAGTGTTGCTTTTTATGCCTGAACAAAAGTAGATGTAAATCCCAGCAAGTTTGTAGCAGGGAGTCACCATTAATCTATTCATTCTGCTCGACATCCGAAAGGACCATTCAAATGCCTTTAAACCAAGCTTCCTGCTTCCTTCAATAAAATCGCCCGCTAAGGTAGCCACATCTAAATGTTTCTCTTACAGTAGAAAGTCAGATAGTTTTCGATAGGATTTATGGCTTTATTCCGTCTGAACTACAGTCAGTGGGTCTAATGTAATGTGTATCAAATTGATTTTGACTTGAAATCAATAAGTGCTAAAATACGCTTGCTATCTTTTGAATCACGTCTGTGATTACTCTACTTTTTAGTGAACTAAGAGTCTACAGACATTAAGAAAGAAAGAGGTAAACCAGTTTTCTCACTTATCATCGGTCAAATAAGATAACTTCCCTGAATTACGATATGGATGCTACCGGGGTGAAAAACAGTTAGCAAACGAAGTTGAGGTAAGTGTGAATTGGGTAGAAAGGGTACCTGACTGATTCCTGAGTCAGTTTCGAATTCACTGCCGTATTAACCATCATGGTGTTTGGCACCTGGGGACTTTGTTTCATCAAATCGCTTCTCCTCTTGTGTTCAAAGTTTACTATCGGCCGAGGCGCATCCTTATATAATTTGCTTGTCAAAACTAACTAAAGGTAAATCATAAAATACTGATAGCTAGTTATATGTAGGAATTAGTTCTCATACTTCCATTTACCCACCATTACAATCCTGCTTCTATAGAAGGTATGAGCTAAGTTCGTATCAACATATTCTGACAGTGTCTCCGCACGAGAGACATCTCATTGATTTTCTACCTAGATTGCATACTAAATCCTTCTCAGGATACCTGAACTGCAAGCGATCTTGATTATAGTTCTACATGTTTATTGACAGTTGGGTCATCTTTTCAAAGCACATGCTGTTTAGAAAACGGACGACATCCTTGGCTTATAGCATTTATTTCACAGTATTTATGGGTTTATTTAACAACCCACAGTTGGAAATTTGTTTAGTAGTACTGATTTCAAATTTTTGTCTGCTGGTTGACCAACACAATATTCTGCTATGCACTTCGCGTTATATCCTGATATTTACACTGTCTGGAGTCAGACACCGGACCACGACAGGCTTACACCTAATGATAAAAAATGAAATCCTTTTTCAACAGAAAATATCTTAAATTCAGTTGTTATACTGGCATAGATAAATGTTTACTGAGACTTTCTTATGACTAATAAGCCGAAGTTAAGGGGGGTATGAAAGTACTGGACTTGAAAACCAGAACAGTTATTGAATATACCTAATTAGTCATGGAACAAATAGTTTTGCGTAGGAAATCTTTTACGACTAATTTATTTTCCGAAGTTGTACAATCGTACGTATATTAAGTTTAACATTATTCTTTGTGTGTTCATGATGAGATGTAATCATAGTGAGTTATGTTTAAACATTGATACACGGCTTTGTCAGTAGGGTAAAACTTTGCGAAATATATAAATTTGGCATTTGCGAAACTAGTGTTATTCATCAATTTGAAAGAGACGAAAACATAATAGTGTGAAACAAGTTAAAAACATAACCAGAGAGATCTAAGACAAATCGGTATGGATTGATCAATGTTCAAGATATTCAGATGTCTCACTAGTTAACCAGGTTATGACCATGGTAACGAAATAGACTTAACCAGTGGTTCTGTAT